GAGGGGTACACCACAGTCATTGCAACTCTTTTCCAAACCGGCCCAGCCGAGCCGAGCTAATGCAAGTTTTAGCAATTGCGTTGTCTTCAAAATATGTGCGGTATTTTTACGCTAAGTCCAGCGCGTCCAACTCAGATCTGCGTGGGATTGTTTGTTGAAAGGTATTTAAGCTAATGCACTAGCGTATCCTGAGAAAGGGAGGGCAAAGCTATTTAGGTGGCGAGGGACTTCGAGAGGCCGATTATCATTAACTGAGCCTGAAAGTAATGGATGCGCCAGTTCTGTGTTTGGGAAGGAAATATCCAGGTAGGAGGCTGCACGAGAGAAGTGTAAAATTAGCCCGGGAAGGTGCGAGGCAGGAAAGCGAAATTTCTGCGCTACCCCGTTTTGTGATGTCGTTTCGACTCCCTGCCCAGTTTTATGGCCGTATTATAGCAGTCCTGGAATTTGGATGATTGCTGCATCGAGTCGCGCAGTGCGGTTTCTTGCGCTCAGTCAACATATCACTCGATTTGCTTCATCCGCAGCTGCTGCTTCTGCCACATCAAGTGCCACTAAGGAGGTTAGCTTTCCGTTGCTTTGAAAGTCTCTTTTGAAACTGTTGTAACAATTATCAAAACGGAATGGAAAGGATGAAAGGGATAGCGGAGAAAGAAGGAATATCTAAACTGTTGCAAGCCGTGGAGAAAGCTGCACTGCCATCCGGCACATGTCTGCATCGGTGCAAATGCAGAACGACTGTCCAAAGTGATAATTTTGAGCAGCTAACTGTGCTGCTCTATCATTGGCGTGGGTGTGTGTGTGTGTGTGTCGATGGGAATTATGCAGACTGTCTACCTCTTGTAGGAAAAGTGAAAGAAAGGAGAAAGAACGAAAATTTCCCCGGATTAACACATGTCACACTGCACTCTTCTCGTTTTGGTGGCGTAAATAACGGCCAGAAATCTTTTCCCATACATTTCCGTTTGAAATTTATTACTTTTTTAGTAGCTAACGCAGAAATAGATTTATCATGCAACCATTCTTGTAATGGAACATCTCAAAAGTGTAGTTTGTCTGAAGATATGGCTTAATTCATCATGAGTAGTATAAGTACCCGCAAACCAAAGGTCGTTTTGGTCGTAGCTCACTCACACAGCAGTCGTTAAAAGTATTTTTTGAGGCTTTAAAAGAGCTACGAAAGCGAACCGGATACAGCTATGTGAATTGTCGCAAAGCATTGCTTGAGTTTGGGCCAGACCGCCTGGATGCGGCCATCAAGTGGTTGCAAGAAAGGGCCATAAAAGAAGGATGGGAGAAAGCTGCCAAGTTCGTTTCCGTAATTTCTACCGTCGCTGTTTATATCTGTTGCTTTTTTTTTTTTAAACTGCAGAAGCCCATTACAACGAATAGCGGTCGGTTTCGTCTTAGCGCATTCTAACGCCTTCAATGTGTCCGGCAACTTTTCCGCTCGGCTAAAGCCATCTGGCATTTGTTCCTCGACTTCTACTTTTTGGGCTCTTTCCAAAGATTGCTGGATGTATAGCATTCTCTGTGCTGTTCCTGCTTCTGTACCGCATCCGTTGTGTTCATTTGTTGGTGATTCTCGCATGCTCGCCGTTAACAGTCACCGTCTACAGGAACAGATGTACTAAGAGCAAATCTTATAGGAATTTTCAGCTACATCAACTTGCAGATGCAGAAATAACTAGGCCCACGCAGTGAAGCGTTTTTTGGCGTCTTTTTTTAGGAATTAATGTTTGCAGACTCGGTGATCGACCAACTAAGCACGGGCTCGTTTCGGTTTTGGTTAGGGGTTCTAATGCGGCCATTGTTGAGGTGAACTGTGAAACAGATTTTGTTGCACGGAATGAGTCTTTCAAACAGTTGGTAGGTGCTATGATTTATGTCTTTTATCTTTCTATTTCTGCTTTTTGATGAATATTTTATCTATGACTTGTTTGGAATACTTCCGTCTTCGATAAATTAATGCCAGGTCTTTGCGCAGAACAGAAGCTCAAAATGAAATTTTTTAAGCCTCTCGTTGCACCCTCAGTTATGTTTTTCCATCAATATTCATGCATAGTCAATGTCCCAAGTTTGTGCTTTGAATTTGGCTGTTTTCAGGTTGAGGACGTAGCAGATGCAGTTTTAAGTAGCGTTGGCCAGATCAAAACGCAGGATGGTGCTTTCAGCATATGTGATGCAGGTAAATTACAATTTAATCGAAGATAAAAATAATTTAATCGAATCTTGTGGTAAAAATAACATGCTGAAAATCTCAAAAAATTGCTCAGTGGTTACGAGCATTGCTCATTTCTGGCCATTTTTTTTTTTTTTTTTTCGAATAAAATATGCTGCAGATGCAGAACTGTTAAAGCGGACTTGTTAAATAATTACTTGGACTGTATAAACTTGCTAAAACATGTAGACAGGGAGGAGCGCTTTCGCTTTCAGCTTTCAGAGCTGCCAAAATTCACTTCAAGGAGCACTGAACTTAACCATAAGGGCTCAGTGTCTGGCTCAGAGGAAATCAAGTTTAGCTGTAGAGTAACAGATTCAACAAGGAAATTGTGGAGTGTGTTAGAAAGCTGTTGAAAAACCCGTAACATTAAACTGTTATATCTTTGTGAATGGGCTTGGAAATAGGAAAGAGTTATGCGAATGAATCTTCTTGTTCTGTGTCCTGTGAGTGGATCAAAAATTTCACATCACTTGTTTTTGAAAGCGATCTTTCAATTTATGAGTTTTATTTAGGTCCTATAAAATTACTGCAGTTTTACTGCACGTGGCTTTTCGAATTTTATTTTCTCGTGCGCACAGATTTTTTATTGATGCAGACGTAATGGCCTATCAATTATCTGTGATTACGATACCTGTCATTGAAAGTTAATTAAATGTCGGAATTTTTGCCTTTCCTTTCCTTCTCCGATGAAATCATGAGTTCTTTGCATTTCTGCTTCACAGTTTTGCTGTTTGAAAGACGAAACAATTTTGTTCCTTTTTTCCAACTGTCAGAAATGGTGATGGCAAAAAGTTCCTTAGCATCCGAACTGGCCATGGAAAAAACCCAGTGGCAGGAATTTGTACACATTTTTTATCTCCTTTATTATTTAACAGTGTTTCAGAAATCGCCGATTTAAGGTCGACAAGAAATGATAAGTCAGTAAAGGATCTGATTTCGGAGGCAGTTGGAAAACTTGGCGAAAATATCACAATTTCGAAAGCACAGCTTTTAGCTGCACAGCCTGATGTTCAGCTTTTTGGCTATGCTCATCCCCGAGGTTTCATTCCTGATTACATCGGCAGTTTCTACTGTAAAGACATTTCGGTTTGGCCAGATTTGAGTTGCTTTCTGAGTTTTGAGAGTGTTTCAGTTATCACTGAGAGCAGATTTTAGTTCAGCAGTAAAATTCGAGTTGTTTTTTGGGACTCATAATTTACGCTTACGAAAAGGATCATTGTTTTTCGCACATGCAAATCGCAGCTATTCTCATTTAAATTGAGTAAACAGTCGGGTGAATTACAATGTTTAGAAGGCTCGGGAATGACAAGTATGGGTCGGTACGCGTCAGTTATTGGTCTGCGGCGATTGAGTGAGGGGCAGTTTGCAACGAAGAATTTGGGTGAACAGTTATGCCAGCACATTGTGGGAATGAGGTAACATTAATTTTTATTTTAAGAATGACAGGCATGAGCATTTGTGCTTACATACAGCCTTACTAATGGCTTTTATAAGTGGTGCTGCATCATCCAGTCGACTGGCGCTTAAAAAGTCCGTTTCTTCATTCATCGAGAAGGAATTACCAGTGGCATTGCATTTCACTGTAAATGCTTCACGTTGTTCTTTTTATTCTGCTTTTATTTCTTCATTTTCGTTAATCCACAGATGATGAACTTTCTTTGTGAGAGCCACCTCTTTACGGCATGCGCCAGTTTCGGAACGGAAGATCCTCAATGCCTCTGCCCCAAAAAAATCAAGAAAAAGAGGTTACTACAAGCAACGTGTTTATTGCATTGCTTTACTGTATTATAAATTATGCATTACTTGTCTGTATGACGGTTTATTTTGCGCATATTTCTTTTGTCAGACATTCTTGCTTTTTTTTTCTTATACATTCAACTCTGATTCTTGAAAACTTTACCTTTATTGAAACCTTGAAATCTTTACTTTTGTTGAAACCTTGAAATCGAGACTGAAATCTTTAGTCCTGAAATCTGCTTTACCTTTATGCGGTCTAGAAGCAAATTTGTTGTAGGACAAAAACATTGGGTACGCCGCCAACGACAAAAGAAGAAGTGAAGATACCGGTGAGCGAAGATAAGAAATTGGAGGAAGATGAGTTAAATGCTTTTTGCGACGATGAGGTAAATATTCCAGTTTACGCTTACGAAAGGTTTAAGAATAAAAATAGGCGGAGAAGCGTTGTAGGAGCTGGGAGGAAAGTGGTGGTTTCTGAATTTCCCTTACCTCTTCACGTGCCTTTCAATGCAGCTGCGCTCAAGCAATAAAAATGAAACGAAATGTAGCGCCTCATCTTGACTGTCTGGCACTTGCCTGAAAGAACCGGAGGGCAGCACATCACGTCAGCCCGATTTCTTCTACGCAGTGCATCAAACAGACCTTTATAAAATGTGCAGTGTGAAGCCATTGGTGAAGTGTAAACATTTTGTTGAGAGCGTTTCAGCACTAAATATTTCACTCTTTTTAATAAAATATTGCTTCAAAATAAAGATCGATACTTTGATGATTCTGCATAAGCTTGCCGCTTCTTCCTGCTCGTTTTTTCCACTAAAATACTCAAAAACTCTGTAATACTTCCACTTTCCCTTACAACTTAGCAAACTCTTGCTTTTACCTGAAAATTTATGCAATTTTTTTGCAGTGAACTACACTTTTGCTCCAAAGAGCCCGTTATTTTTGCTCCTATACTGTTTGTAATAAGTCAGAACAGCTTCTGGAACTCCATTCATGCATTCCGAAAGTTGCAATTTAGCTTGTGAAGTTAGTCTTTGGAGAGTTATGCTGGGATCACTAAACTCGTTGCAGAATGTGGCCATACGGCTTTGCTGCTTGATGTTAGACGGCTCTGCCAAAAGTCTTTAGAGTGGGCAGACAAATTTGTAATAAGATTGATTAAGATCAGTTCAAAATTGAAAATAGACCGTACTTTTTTTCTAAATCGTTCTCCTCCTATAATTATAGATTCTGAAAAAGACAACTGAACCTACAGAGCAAATTTTCTGGTTTTTTTTGCGGCATTAAAAATGAGGAAGGAGCCTTGTACATTTCTCCCCTCAGTAATTTAGCTCTCGCTGTATTGGGCTTGCTTTTCTCTCTAGCCCAATGAGAAGAGAGAGGGAATTAACTTGTGTATAGTGCTAGCAGGTTTTTTTGTTACTGTATTTTATACAGTTAAAGTGAAATTTATTCACTCGAATTTGTGTAGTTACATTTCAATAACACCGTACTGCTTATTCACTTTGTTTGAGGTAACGCACATCGATGAGAACGAAACACAGCTATTACGGCAATCATTCATGCTTAATCCGTCGCAGACTGTATACGAGTATGTTACGGGACATGGAGCGAACATTGTTGATTTTTATCGTGTTGAACTCGGTGAGAACTGCAGCGCCCAGGGCAGCAAATAATATTTCCATTTTTAGTTAATGCCCGTTGTTCCTTTCTCTGTTGAAGTTGTGATTGCCATGTAAAATATTTAAGCGGAAATGCTCTCGTACACGCAATAATGGAATATTTTCCAGCTGATGGATGCCAGGAGCATCAATGACGTCACACATATTGCGGCGCCGCTAACAGCAACGGTGCTGCAAAGATGCGCTACAGTAAAACGACAACAACTTATTTCAAAGTATCAATGTGAAGCAAATCTCGATGAGATTTTTTTCACTTTGTTACTCTGAAAAAGTAAAGTAAATCGTGATTTCTGTGCTTCTCCCCCTTTAGGCTACCTTTTTTTGCAAGACACCCTAGGGATGTATAAGATCAAACTGCTAAAAGTTTAATGTCAGACGAATGGGAATGTTTATATTGTCTAGAAAACGATGTACAATTACTACAGGCCTTTTTGTGATTGTAACTGTCCAGAGAGATATTTGGAAGTATTGCTAGTAAAGAGTGTTGTGAGGTAAAAGTAGGCAAGCGTGGGTCACTGGAGCTGTCCGATTAAGTTGTTTATGATAACATCGCAGAAAATACATGAATTTGCTAGCACATCATTTTTGTGAAACCCTGAGTCCTGTTCCAAACGCGTGTAGGAGGCACCAGCGTAAGAAAATCGTAACCTTGATGTTCGATAACCATTTTTTCATTACAGCTGGCTGAGACTTTACAAGGATTCTTTGCAAAAAAGGAGAGAAACTCGGAAGGGGTTGGGCTATACATTGATAGTTGTCAGCTCGATTTGGAAAGCAAACTGGATGGGCAACTGTCGCAGTGATATGAAATGGGTTTCGTTGTTCTGGCATTCATGTGAAAGAAAGTCTTAGGGTAGTAAAATTTACTTGAACTCGAGCATGACTCGTGAACCAGGATACAGTAAAATTTTAAAACTCGTCTCGTACTCTCTCCCTCTAACTGTCCGAATCGCTGCACTCTTAAGACACTACAGTTATACGTGATTTCAAATACAAACAATGCAGCTGATGGGATTTTTCTTTTTTTTTTTTTTTTT